TTTTTGTTGTTGTTCTAGTTGATTAGCACGCTTATACATTAGTATAGTTGCTTCATCTAATCCTTGTTTACGAAGTTTTCGTGAATAACGTTGTAATTTTCGATTACGTGATTGTTTTTTCCTTTTCTTTGATATTGTCGTTGTAGTTGTTATTTGTTCTTGTCCTGTTAATACTTGTGTTGGTGATAGTAAGTCATACCAACGACCTTGAGCATCTTGACTTGGAGTTTTCAATGGTTCTTTACTACTATCCATATTCATATTTTTAATAAATATTTCTATCTAAAATGAGAAAAAAAAGGTTTTTGATAGAGTATATCAAAATGCTGAAACTAAGTATGTAATATAAGTTCACTAAATCTAATGAAAACATATGAACAAAACAACAAAAAAATTAAGTAATACAAAATGAAGCAATGTTTTTGAATTTGATGTATATTGTTAAGCATGAACATTCTTTAATGATAATCTCTAAAAATAGTGGACATTGTTGAAAGATAACGAAATAATTAATAATTAATACGTACATTGTTGATTCTGTGCATTATTTGGTAAAGTTAATAGAGTAAGAGGTGGTCGCTTATCAACTAAATAATCATTAATAGTCAATGATGTTTGTGAACATGGTACAAATTCGAATTTAACATTATTGAATGTTTCCTTGTTATATTTATATTTGTAAAAAAACTATGAAAAAATGATAATGCAATGGATTAATACATGAATATATACATACACAAAAAAGATTGGAAATAATGAAAAGTAGAGAACAAGGGTAGAAAAAAAAGTCAAAGAAATATAAATAAGAATGATGAGTTGAGAATGTTTGAAAGCGCTTGTATGAAAAATATTGTACTGTACTGCTGCTATTTCATGTCAATTTTCATCATTGTCTTTCGATTATTCTGGAAAGCAGGTATGTATATATAAATATTTGGACTACATCAATTTGATTTAATATTTCCACGCTAATGATTTCTGGATCCTGCTCTAACAGTTGAGATACCAACTTCATTGTGCAACAGTATAGTAATCTATATGATAATTCGTATTAATTTTTTTTAAGCGAAACTTATTCTCAAGAGAAAAATCACACAGAACTGAAGTCTGACAAAGATAGTTTGGAATTCTACGGACAAAAGGCTGAGAGAAAAGCATAAAGAAAATATCAACAGACTTGATAAAGATGATTGGAAATTCGATGCAGTTGTTCTTGTCAGTGAAGATTCCAGTAGAAGAATCGATGTTGCTGCTGTTGTATCAATCGACGGAATGAATTTTTCACAGGGAAAGCGAGCCTTTATATAGTCCGCAAGATGCCATAGACGACAACAAACTACGACACTAAACTACCATAGACGGCAAAAAGCTATGACAAACGACAACAAATTACGACAATAAACTACGACAACAAATCACGACAACAACGTACGACAACAAAGTACGACAACAAACTACGACAACAAATCACGACAATAAACCACGACAATAAATTACGACAACAAACTACGACAATAAACTACGACAACAAATCACGACAATAAAGTACGACAACAAAGTACGACAACAAACGACGACAAGAATTTACAATAGACGACGGAATGTGTCGTACAGTCGACGATGAAAAGGTCATACAGCGGACAACGACATAAGCACGATAGAGGGCAGTACTAGTACAACAGACTTCAAATGATATTTTCTTCTACTGTCTCTTCTACATACATAATATACTGGCAAATAATACGTAACCTTGATTTTCATCATCACTTCTTCAACACAAAGGCACTTACTTTTAAAAATGCTTTCATCACATTCCGTAAATTCGCTACAAAAGAAATCCCTTGTATGTTTTGAGAATTTAACGAAACTTATTTTCAAATATTTTTCTCAAAAATATTTTAATATTCTTTTCATTATACTTCCATAAGATTTTAAAAAAATTCAAGCATTTTTCAGAAATTTCTTTCAGTTTATTTCGAACATATTACAAAAATCATTTTTGAAAAATGTTGTAGAAAATCAGCTGCAAATTTTCCAAAGTTTTGTTTCAAAGATGTTGACGAATTTTTTTGAATAGTATTTCGGAATAATGTGGTTAATATCTTTTAGAGTTCTTTTCATGTTTTTTGAATAGATTATTCGAAAATTTTTTAGATTTCTTTTCACAATTGCTCAAGAATAAATTCAACAGGTTTTAAATATTTATACCAGATCTACTCCAAACGAAACATACACTCAATTTTTCAACTAATTTATTGATACTTCAGAATTTTCTCTAAAAGTTTCGAAATATATGTTACAAATTTTTTGCTGAAAAATTCCCAAACTTTCTTTGTTTTTTTCTAAATACAATTAGAAACTTGTTCTGATCGTTGAAGTGTTAGTGTATATCAGTAATATGAAACTTCGAGCTTCAATGAAACGGTTTCATCAAATTTCAATTTGGATATTTGTATGACTAACAGTCACGTTCGCACAATAATTTTACTGTTAAAAATTTTACGGTTATATCCCAAAATTTAAACTTAAACTTTTAATGATTTCTTTTTCATCGTCTTTTTTTACGATCGTCTTATCAGTTTAAGTTCACCTTCGAACTGTTAATCGTTATAACAAAAGTTTCAAATATAATTAAACCTTTAAATATTCAACGATTTTATTCCAAACTTGAAATTCGTATTTCAAACAGTTTCGTTGTGAATGTAATTTCACCTTTGACCATTTTAAAGTTTTCTTTCAATTTTGAAATTATATTTTCTAACGGTTCGCATTTGACTCAAGTCTAATTTTTGACCTTTTACTGTTATGTTTCGAATTTGAAATTGTTGTTTTTAACGGTCATCTTTTGAATATAGATGACTTTCGGAATAGTACTTCACTACTAGATGGAATTCAATGAACTCTACATTATTGCTTCATTCAATGTTTTTGTTGAATGTGCTTTTCAAAAGTTATCAAAATTGTTTCAAGATTTACGCCAACTTTAATGATTTTTCTTTTTGTAAATAGATTCGCAAAAAGTTCTATTTATTAGTACACTGCATAGTAATAGTCAAGGGCTAGACATTTTCTCTTACATTCGATTTATACTTTATCAACGGCATAATTCTATAAAGAATAACAACTTGTATCTAAACAATTTAATTTGTCCACAACTATCTTTTGTAAATGATTGTTGCTATTTCGTTACATATGCATCATTCGTTTCTTTTTTTTTATTTATAAACAAAAAAAAATATATATACAATAATAACAAAACGAAACGGTTTATAATACAAGAAAAAAAAAGAAAAAGAATAGTTCTTCATAATTATTTAACACTCCCAATCATATGAATCATATGGATCATAAGCAAATGGTGTTGGTGGTAATGATAGTGATACAAACGATCCATTGTCTTCACTATTATCATCATTATTCTCATCATCAGTTAGAAAATAATTTTCTGATAATGATGATGAGAATTCAGATTCTGTATTATAATCATCAACAGATGTTTCATTTTGTTCGTCGTTGTCACTATAAACAGTGATGAAAATTTATAATATTAAATAACAAAAAAACAATGTTATATGATAAAAGCAACTTACTTTTCAGAAACATTTTCAAATGGACGATCAATAAGAATCAATCGTCGAGAAAATGGCAAAACTAACTAAATTAGATAAAATATTATTGTTATGAGATTAGATATTTGTTTTTGCTATTTTACTCGTCCATTTTGATTGACATCTAATAAAAGAATTAATTGCTCATAAAGATTATTAGTAGTGTCATTATTCTAAAAGAAACGAAACATAAAATACAACTGTTTTAATTTGTCTAATCTTTTTTTCTTCTTACTTGTTGTTGATGTAATTGTACAGATGACATGTTATTTTTGTTGAATAGAATTAATGAAGAATTTTTTGTATATATCTAGGTTGCAAAGAAATATAGTTTAATTATTTCAGTTATATTATAGATTTTTTTTTCGAGATTATATAGATATTTTAATCTTTAGGTATATGAAGATTCTTTTCTAGTAGTTAAGACGAAGTGAAACGAATGAGAAGTGGTCACAATAGTAATTACTACTGCTTAAAGCAAGAAAAATTTAAGCTATGAATAAGACAGGGTGTGAGAGAGGTACATTTGGCTGATCGATACAAGTTAACAGCAACAATTAATTTCGCTATGCTTAGCTAACAACTGATGTGTATGTTTAAGCAAAAAGAAATGAGGAAAAATTCAAAAACAAAAGAAGAGATAGTTATGCATAGA